TTTTGTCTTCATTCTTATTCATCTGATCTCCAAAATCAAGAGTCGTCATTAGGATGAACTCGATATTGAATTTGTAATATCATATGGAAGAAAATCTTTTTCTTTACTCATTATAGATACATTTCTATTTTGATAGGATAAGATTTACTTCATATTATTTATTAAAACATGATCTTTTCAGATTCTGAATTATATATTTTATTTATAAAAACGTTAACCGAGTAATAAGTCTAGAGCTGCTTTTAAATCCCAATTTGTTGCTTCGAGTGCTTGTCGATTAGCTATTTCATCTGTTAGGCCCATAGCACGCATTTGATCTAATAGTTCTTGTGCATTAGTTGGTTCACTTTCTGGATTTTCTGTTGTTGTTATTGGTGTTGATGGATTAGTTGATGTTCTTTGTAGGACACTTCTTAATTGATCCATACTTATAACATTACGACGATTTGGTGTTCTTTGTGTTTGTTGAGATGGAACATTCGATGGACGAGAATTTGTTGTCAATCGATTTGTTTGTTCAAGTGCACGATAAAAATCTTCATTTGTTATACGTCGAGGCATTACATTAAATGCTGGTTGACGTGGTGCAGCTGGTTCAATTAAATGAGGACTACCATTTAAAAAGTAAGCAGCTATATAAAAACAAATAAATCAAATCAAATAAATTTAATTTCATAAATTTACCAGGTGATAATTGTAAATCATTCGAATTAGCTGTATTACTTGTTGATGTCCATTCTTTGATTACTTGAGCAACTACTTTATATAATAATGGATTTGCTTGTACAATTTCTGTAAGATGTTTGATATTATGATTTTGACAGAAAAGTACTGAATCTTCACATAAACCTGAATAAATGCAAAAAAAAAGTTGTTTGAATGTTAAATAAATCATTATTTTAGTATATGACCTATTGCACTTGAATCTAATAATAATTCAGGTAATACTTGAGTAATTTTTCGCCAAAATTCTGGTGTTTTCATTAACCAATAAAGCTAATTAAAATAGAAAAATAAATAAAAAAAATGAATTATTTTTTTGTCTTACACGATGAAATTCATTGGGTGTAGCTGATATTTCAATTGTTTTCGAACTTTGATGTAATTCACTTTTACCAGGCAAACCTATTTATAAAAAGTAAAAGTACAAAAAAAAATTAGTCATATAAAAATATTTTACCAGCTGAAGTTTCCATAGAAGATTCATTAGGTAATTTTATTTTTGGTATAATTACTAAACTATCCTCATTTTCAATTTCATAATCATTTAGATTTTTATCATCACCAATCAATTGAACACCTTGACAATATATATCTATATTTAATATATGTATTTTTGAGTAAACCAAACAAAAATAAACTATGTTACTTACCAAATGAATTATCTGGTAATGATAGTATTTGAGCTATTTGTAGTTTTAATTGTTTTATTGAACAGTCTTCAATATTCAATTTATTATTCGATGTATGTACATTGTTATTAGTTTTGTTGTTTATCGTTGAATCAAATGATAATAAATTGAATGTATACATCGTAGGTCTTTTTCTTCTTTTTTTGTATTTTTAGTTTATACTCTACAATTAAATGGGTTGTACATGAGAATTGAATGTGACCTGTCATCATATTTCTAATTTGATCACATTGTTCAACTTTCCTCTCATCAACTCGAATTACAGTGTAGAAACGAATCTTTTTTTTCTTTTATTTTACTGTCAATTTACAACGAATAAATTAATATCTATCAAGGATGCGTTTATATACAAAATCAAAAGAACAATCTTTTGTTATAAGACGTTTTTATCTGTCCACTCAATCCAGTCATGTACCATAGAGCAACATACATATATATATGCATGTATCAAGACTAGACGAGACACTCAATCTTTACGTATATATATATGTATGCATGTGTACGTTAAGTAACACGAGATCTTATTTCTTCGCGTAAAAATCTACTTGAGTGTATGTGCGTTAATGGATCCAAGCTGTTACAAGGAGATACACTTATAGTAATATTTTCATTTTTTATGTAGTGCATCTAACATGCTTTCTCTTCAATGTCAATAGTAGCCATCAAATGGCAATATACATAGATATATATATATAAGCGGTAGTACTCTTCCATCTATGTCTATTCTAAAAGCATTCATCATCATCATCTATCCTTACGAGTTTTATTTCCGACATTACTCTCTTTGTTACCCACATATGCCGGAAGATTACTATCTAAAATTCCCTAATGTAATGAATTGTTCTGTTCAAATCTACTCTATGGAGATTTGTGTATACATATATATATATAGTTTGATGTATATTCATCGCACACACTCGAAAAAAAAAGATGAAGATATATGTAACTAAGAATCTTGATGAGTTCGTATATGTGTGAAAATGACACGCTCACACTATTGTCAATACATATGTAGGTATGAACATATTTTCACATCGTGTGCATCGTCACTTGACACTGACGAGATCAATATCCGGCTGTTTAAAGTATATAATTCTTTTCGTTTGCTTCCTCTAAATATGAAGTAATAAAATTCCAAGTTTACATTGTTTTCTTTTCTCGATGTTGTTAGCATTAGGTAAATAACATAAGAACAACAAGCGAAGAGGAGAGAGAGAGAGGGAGAAAAAAAGAAGCTGTTTTAACAATCTTATTCAATAAATATGTACATAAATGAGCATCGACACTGAGCTCTGCTGGAAGTTTTATGTTTTTACTCAGCTCCCTGTCAATCATATTTGTCATTGTGGCATCTCTTACATGACATTGATGCATAGATGTATATTCGTCGACAATAGTTCTTTCCCTTGACGATATATGTTTACAAAAAAAAACGTGTGAGATAATCATTTTGCACCCCTACTGTCTATCTTATCCTGTCTTCGCTTCCTTACATGCTCCATCATTGCCATCGTATCACTAATAGGCACAAAAAAGAAAGGGTGAGTTAAAAAATAGACAAGAAAAAGAAACGAATGAATATAACATAAGATGATCTTGTTATGTAATTCTCAAGCGTATACTTGGACTCTCATATACACTAATGATCATAATCTTACTCTCTATCCTAACAGACAACGATTTACTAATGATGATTGTGTGATATTCATGTTAGGTAGTGGACACAATTTCTTTCGTGATGCAATTCATTTTCTACGGTTTCAATTAATTCTCTTATCACAGTTGTTATTGCCGCCACCGCCCCAACTACTTCTATTCAAAGAATAACAATTCACATTTCATCTCGTGTCCGATTGACGACATTTTGATTTTTTTTCTTCTTCTGTCTCTTCATTCTCTGTGTATACAGCATACACAATATACATGTATAACTCTCTAGGTAACCTAATCTTCTTCTTCTTCCATATGGCGGTATACATGCGTGTTAATCGTTTTGAAAGTAGCTTTTTTAAATTGGTGACTAAAAAAGCGGCATCAGATTAAAATAAAAGAATAAATGAATGCTTTTTCAAATAACATGATGATCGATTATGAATATGTTTACTTGTTTAAATAAACAATTAGTCATTTAAAATACTGTTCTTTCTCATTATATTCATTTTACAAGAAATACACAAAGAAACAAGTGAGTGAGAGATGAGAGAGAGAAAGAGGAAAAAATGCTTATATAGACAAGTACACGATAACAAAGAAAATGAAAAGATTATTATATCTCATCATCATTTTCTCTTTGTGGACAAAAACTTGAATCAAAACGATGATCAATTAATTGAAGATGAGTTCTTTTTCTTCTTTTTAACCATAAGTTAAGTACAGAAGCAAGTGTTCGTTGGTTTATATCAAATTGTGACCATAATGAACGAAATAAAAATCCATGTACGGAACATGCTGGTGCAAATATCGATATACGATTATTTGATTGACGAAGATTTTCAAGAAGTTTTAATGAGAAATCATTTGAATTTAAATTTAATTCATCTAAATGTAGTTGTGTTTGATCAAATAATGATTGTATTATTAATATTCGTACATGTGATGGAAATAAACGAATAGCTTCACTACCTAATAAACATCTATATTGTGGTTTTAATTGACATGATGAAGGTATTTGTGTATTCCAATAAATCATTCCTTCATTTATTTTTGATATACCATTAATACTACCTGGATAATCAATAAACCAACCGGAATCAATAATAACACGAATATCAATTTTTGAAGAAAATTTGGTTAATAAATTAGGTAAATTTAATAAAAGACCAAGACCACCGGCTGAAAATCCTGTAAATACAATTTGTTTAGCTTTTTGAAAATTTCTATCTGATTTTAAATCATTAAATATAGCATGAAATATATCATAACCATGCGAATGACTTTTATTTGATGAGCCAGACCATAAATCTGATGAACAATATGGAACATAAATAATATTATATTGTTTTAAAGATGAAAATATTCCGATTAAAGATTTTTTTTCATCAAAATTATTTGATGTTATTAAATTAGGTGAATAAATTTGACGAAAATAACAAGATTCTTTTGAATAACAAAACCAACCACCATCGAAATAAATTAACCAACGTGAATTATTCTTAGTATTTGTTGTTAAACGTATATAATATGAAGCAACACTATCATCCATACATCGTGCTTGTGGATAATTAATTAAAGATCTACGATAAAAATTCTTTTGAAATGAATATTTAAGAAAAGGTGATTCAGTTGATGATGTTGTTGTTGTTGGTGTTGTTGGAGTTGAAATAATTGTTGTTTGTCGTCGATAGATAAGTGTGAGAAATAATAAACTTGGAATAGTTAAACATAGAAATAATATAATAAGTCCAATTTCAATATGATAAGATTTATGATGTGATCTTGTTTTAATTAATTCCGGACTTGATGTTGGAGAATAAGATAGAGGCGAAGATGATACTGATGATGACATTATTAACTTATGTATATGTATGAACAACTAATTTCTGACTTTACACCTTCATTGTATCTTACTCGTATACACTTCGTTCGCCTTTTCTTTTTTTGCTATGTATTAGCGAACAAACATTGAAAGAATAGAGAGAGAGACAGGGAGAACGAGAGAGAGAGAAACGTTAAGAAAAAGAGAAGAGAGAAAGAGTGCGATGAAGAAGAAAAAAAATATATAGAAGAGAATAGAAGAATATGAAGCACTTTTAGGCGTATCTTTATATATATATATATATATATGTATATAACAACTGATTATTGATAGTCGATGAAGAAAATAATAAGAATATACACCTGAATAAGAATATTCACGCCGTGAGTAGATGAATTTGCTCAAAAAAAAATGACAAAATGAGCTGCAATTCAATCATCATCACCACATGATATGAATGAATAAATCTCTATCTTGAACATTCGATATAAGGACATGCAGATGGTAAAATTTGAATGAGCCAACAAGTGTGAGAGCTTCCCTGTTGAGATAAAGAATCTGTTGCTGTCAGTCTGACCGTGATTTACTCTCAACTGTCAAGTTCGTCACACACAAATACACATATGCTATGTCTGTCTATCTAAATTTGTGTTGGTTTGCTGTCGCTCGAGAAAATTGCATTGTCAATCAGATCATTGTCAAGAGCTGTATATTAGTCGATGAATTTTCAGCTTTTCTTTCTAACCAACAGCAGGCATCATTAAATATACAATGATAGATAACAATATGTTACTATTCGTGATTATCAATTCTATAATATCATCATGATATAGATATAGATTATTTGATCTACTATAAGGAATCGCCATGCATATGTATAACCTGTTCATGTATCCTTTGATTTAACAGTAAATAATTGGTGAGAAGCAATCATTTTATATGCCGAATGACATTAGACGAATGATAAGAGTAAAGGAATGATTTGATCCGGAAAAATAACATGAACAAAACAAATCAATTAATCGTTTATAATCTAGGCGGCGGCGGCGGCGACTGCAATCATTTTTTCAATGTAAAAGCACATACGCGTAAATAAATCGATATTGATATGACTAGTAGTGATAGTAATATTACTTACTTACTTGACTATCGATGATTGATTCACAAGATGATGTTAACGATGATGTGAAGAGAAAAAGATTAAAAAATCAAAAGTTCTAAAAAATATTTATCAAAAGAAATAAATTCCAATTGAATAATTTTCATAAAATTAAATCTATTTGAATACAAATAAGACTGTTCTTTCTTTTTCTTCATTATCTTTTCATACGTCTGACAAAATAACTACACAGACATTCTTATCAAAATAAAGAAAATGTCAAAAATTAAATTGTCTTGTAGGGTCTATATCTTCGTTCAAGGGTAATAAAATTTGTCCTTCGTTTGTATATAAAACTTATGATAAAGAAACATTATATTCATTGTATCATTTCATAGATGACCTATCAAGAAAAAAAACTCTCCCTATCTTTCCCCAAAAGAAACTACATATAATTAACCTTTTCGAAAAATATATTAATCATTTATATAATTTTATTCCTGCGAATGAAGTAAGACGAAGTGAAATAAACAAAACAGCTGATGTGACAAGAGAAACCAATCGTGTTATGTGTCCATAGATTGCGTGCAAGACTGTCATCTAAAGTTGTTTTTAACTAACTATATAAGATGATTAGGTAATACTAATAGATTATGCCAATCATATTCATTATGAAATAAGAATATAAGTTCATTTTTAGGAATTTCTTTTCGAGGATTAAATAAAAGTAGTAATGATTGTAAATCTAATGCATCATTTTCAAATAATTGTGATTCATATAATCTTAACTAGAAAAAAAGAAAAATTTATGCATGATATGAAGATTTGTAGTATATTTATATATACTTGACCAGATGAATTTATAGGTCGTTGTATGATTTTATTTAAATCATGAAGATTTTCAATAGGTCGTTGTAAATCATGTTGTTGAGATTGAAATATTTCATCCTTTCCGAATTCATCATTTTTAACTAAGAAATATTTATTAAAATCGTAAAAGATTTTGTTGATTTACTTATTGTATGATTTTGGATCACACAAAGTTCATGATCAACTGATAGAAAAATATTTGTTAGATCTGGAATTGTTTCATCATTCGCAATTGTTCGTAATGTTTTATATATATTTTGAATTAATGAACTTGGTGTACTATAAAAAGTACGAATTGCGTTTGGAAATGGTATTTTCGAAGGAATGGTTAAATTAGATGGGGTATTTATATCGGTTAAAACAAAAAATGTCGATGATGGTGGAAAATAATCATCTGATGATTCTTCTTCGTTATTAATTGGTGTGTCTTCAATGGTAGAGATTTTATTATTTGATGTACTAAATTTTGTAAATAATTCCCCTTGATTTTGTTGTCGAAATGTTTCTAAATATGTTCGTTTCGATTTTTTTATCTCTACTGATGTTCGAGTTATAGGCATAATCGGTTCAATATATTTCTCATATTCTAATTGTCCATCAGCATCAAAATTCATTTTAAATTCATGAAATTGTTCGATAAGATGTAATATCGTTCGATGGTTTTCATTTGAATTTGTTTGTATAATTGATTTATGAATAGATTTGAAAAAAATTTGAAAAAGTGTCACAAGATTTGTATTTGTTTTTGAAATAGGTATTAACGATGTTTCATTTGGATACATTCGATAAAGATATATTTGATTATATCCAAGTGAATAAAGTAGATAAGCAAATTCAAATGTAAATATATCAGGACCTATAAATTTAACTGTTGGATATGATAAAAGATACTGAAAAATAGTATGAAATGCATTTAAACGAAGACTTTGATCAAAGTGGGAATAATCTGAATGACTATAAGTCATGTATGTTATGTAATTCTCATGATTATTTGATTTTAATGAAGAAAAATAAGATTGATAAATTTGTTTATTCAATGAACTTTCTTTTACATGTTCATTATTCTCTATCTGATCATCGAATGATCGAAATTTAATTTGACGTTTTTTTAATAAATTTAAATAATATTTTTGTACACATTGTGTTGCTAATTTTATATATGAATAGACCAATTGTTCGTTCATATGTATATGTTTAATATTAATACCAAATTTTTTCGAATTATCAGATAATAATATCCGACATTGTTTTAATAAATTGATCAAACAAAAAAGACTAACACTCTGCCAATGATCATCAATTGATAAAGAAGATATTTGTTCGATAAGATAAATATCTGAATAGGTTTTTGATATATTATTTTGTGAATACGTAAGTCGTTCAGCTAGAATAACACCCAATGGAGTGAAGCCAATTATTTGTATAGGCTTCATCGTAAATATGAACAAAAAAGAAGAAGAAGCACTAGAGTTCTCTTTTCTATATAGAGAGTATACAATTAAATTAACTAAAGAAAAGATGCATAAACACCCGCAAAATATACAAAAAAAAGAATATCAATGAGTAAACTATTACAAATACAATAGATTTAAATTAATTAACATGAATATGTAAGATATGATGTAATGAATATCGTTTTCTCTATAGGATATTCTATCTTCCATCTTTTCTAAACGAGGAACAACACCCCATTCCTAAACAGATCAGTAAAAATTCGACATCTTTTTCTCAAGAGTTTCGCTCTCTCTCTCTGTTTCATAGGTGATGATGTATTGATAATCTTCAAATATGTTTTTAATCATATTTCTTCTGAGTAATTCTTTATTTTTTTCTTCAAACGAAACCTGACATATGTAGAAAAAAAAGAGTGAAAAAAAAATAATATAAAACCTTTCAAAATGAACGGATGAGAATCACCATAATCTCAAATAAACACTTTACTTTAATTCATTACATATCAAAACAAGATCACAAAAGAAGTTTGAATTTGTCAAATATTCTTCTTCTTCTTCTTCTTTAAACATACCACATCGTATCTTGAATCGATGGATCTAATTGAATAAGTCTTGTTTCGACTTCTTGTAATGTTATTGCACCAAGACCATCAACTAGATCATCATCGTCAAAATCACTAAACACAAAAATAACGTATTCGGGTTGTTTTTGTAATAAAAAATGATTACCCTCCTATACTACTTCTTCGATCACTTTCATAATTATCAGCATCACGAGATTGATAAGCAGCTAAATGTGCATAATGAACAGGTGCTGGTACTGATACAGCTTTTGTACATCGAACATCCGAATGACAAAGATAATAAGTTAAAGATTGTATTTCATCAGATGAAAAACCGATTTCATCATATAAAACATGATATAAAATTGGTCGTGATGTTCCTTTAAAAGCAATCGAGATATATATATATATATTTTTAAATATTAAATATACCTTGAATAGCAGCATGACTATTTAAATAAAAATCAAAACCTTGTGGTTGAACAATACCAGTATCAACAACAGTACCTATCATATATATGTATAATATTTGTTTTTCAAGTAAATAAATTTACCAGGTTGTACGTTATTCATCATTTTCATATTTGAATTTGGATCAGGAATAAAAAAACGTGTATTATGACGTTTTTTAACAATAATAAATGTAATTTTTGGTAATGGATTATTCATATAAAGAGCTAGGAAAGAATTAACAATTAATTTCAATTTAAATAATAATTAAATATCTAACCTTTACAAGCATTTTGTAAAGCTCGAACTTCATTATCAAGTACTTTTTGAAAATGTCCATCATCAACACCTAAATAAAAAATGTATATATATACATTTGAGTATTAAATAATTTTTACCATCACGATAGAAAACAATTTTATTTGGAAAACATCCATTTTTTTGTGCAAATAATTTTAATAAATCTGTTGCCATTTGATATAAATCTTTTATAATTTCTAATGATATTCTTCCACGTGCTGGATATTGTTCACTAACACGTGATGCATATTGTGTACCTAATAGACATTATATTCATATTTTAAAATTGAAAATATTAACTAACTTGTCGAATCAATTGAACCAATAACAGCTGCAATTGATGGTTTATCTCTTGAACATGTTGTATGAGTAACATCAGCACCAAAAAACATAAAAACATCATCTTTTGTTGATGATGATGTTAATGCTCGTGCTAATGATACCATGCCATTAACACCACCAAGTTTTGCATTAAATTTTTGTACAAGATTTTGTATATACTAAGAATATCATTGAATTTAAATAATTTATGATAGAAAAGAAAAAGATTTCTAATACCATATCAAGTTTATTGATATTCTTTGCAATAGCAACAAAATCTGTACATCTAAAAATTAAAATTTCTTTTCACAAAATGTAAAGAATAGAAGATTAATCTCTGTACATTAGATTATCATACGATACAACAGAGTCATATCATCCGGCGAAACTCTACTAATCAATCAGTTCATTATGTATGGTCAATATGTATGCCTCAGAGGTCTGCCCGCCTGCCTGCCTGAAACAGGCACAGGCCGTTATATCAAAGCCTATCACAGGTCAGGCTGAAATGAGCGTATGGCAGGCGCAGGCAGGCTGGAGGGGTCTCAAGCCTGTGGTAGGACGGCCAGGCCCACCAAAACTAAGCCTGTTTACACCTCTGGTATGCCTACTGAGTCCTTTTTGATGTTCTCAGAAATTCATTTGTCGTTTATATAGTAAAAATCGAAACAGGGCGTATCTTTTTTTATGAAACTTACTGGGTAACAATTCCAAGTTTATGATTTCCAAAATATTTAATTGTTTTATAAATATCTTCTCCAACACCATTAAGAATAAATAGAACAACTTCACAATTTGCATCTTTTAATTCTTGTAATCGATCATGAATTTTTTGTGGTACAGCTGGATCACTTTTCATAATTGGATTAGGTTCAAAATTGATACCAAAACGTTCAATAACCTTAAATTATAATTTCGAATAATTATAATAAACGAAAAAAGGTAAAGAAAATTTACATAAGGAAAATGTTCGACAAATTGTTGTGCAATTGATAATTGATGTTGATTTGGTTGTTGAGCGGAAACCATAACACATGCCCATACATTAATATCTCGTGTTTTTTGAAAACGATTACGAATATTCCATCTTTGAAATATAAATTAATGAAATCTTTTTTTTGAAATGTTTTCATACAAACTTTCCAATACTAATACGTTCAACAACTTCACTTTGTCCATCACGTCCACTTAGATATTTTATTTCTGGTGGAGCAATTAATCTTCCTTGAACAGTTAACATTTCTTCATCTTCAACTTGCATACCAATTTCTTTTAAATATTTATCTTCATTGAATCGACGATTATAAACTATTTCGTTTATATTTTGATATCGTTGATTTGGCCGAACAACTGTTTTTTTTGTTACCTTAAGAATGAAGGGAAATTATATTTATAGAATAATAATAAAGAATTTTACTCGTGCACGTTGATCCGTTGTTAATGGTTTTATTGAACGTTGCCATGCTTGTATTGTACAACATTCCATTGGCAAATAATGAAATTGAGTTTTATTTGGTGGTGTATATAATTCTATTTTTGTTTTTGAAATTTAATTTAAGAAATAAAAAAGAAAAATTTCATCCTTACCAACAGTTGGTAAGTTTGGATATTGTAATTTAATGTTATACTTTTCCGAAAAATAATCATAAACTGATTGTCGTTCTTGTGTATCACTAACAACACCATCGACCATACGTGGAAATGTATGTTGACGTGATGATGCACCAAAACCACGTATACGATATTTTCGTGTACTCTCTGTATGATGTGTTTCAAGCCAAATTGGTTTAAGAACTTTTCTTATTAATAATTGTTGTTCACGTTCATCAATGCCTTCAAGAAAATAATAATTAGATAAGCAATTAAACTAATATCTAATTACCATCACGAACTATATCATGTTGAAGATATTCACAAAGAAAATCAACTAAATTAAATGGTTGATAAAAACATGTAAAGGTTGAATTGATATTTAATGTTGCACCAATTTGAGTTAAAAACATAGCTTGATATGAACCATTAGCTAAACCTCGACCATCACCTATAAATTGAAGTAGAATTTTTAAATATACAATTCAAATTAAAATAAATCTATATTCGACAAGGATAGACACTACAGGTAATGTTCATTCAAGGATAACACAAACATATATATTAGCTAATGATTTAACAGTAGTATTGATAGCGAAGAACTTTGAATGTCTATTAATCATTTTCAAAAAAACGAAAACTTGTCATTGCAGTCACTATGAGAGTAAAATGTAGAACGCATATATTCTATGTATGAGGAGTAGATATTAGAGGAGTTGTAATTATTAATCTTTAAACTTTTCTTTCGCAGTTACTAAAGAACATGTATATATTGGTTTAAATAAAATTGCATTTAATATACTATTAATTGTAAATTTTATGTCGATTAACAATGCTTCTTCTTTCATTTTCATTACTAATGACATATACTCTTAAACGTTTGTCAACTTTTCTTTTACTGAAGAGATCTATACTTTAATGCTAATTGACTTCCTCTCCTTCGTATAGCTACGAAGATATACTAATTGATCGTTGACCTTGATTAATAAGATCTATAATAAGAAAGAGGTTGACGAATAATTCGAAATCCTCATCCTATAACTTACAATCACTATTCTCTCTTCGAAGAGTATATTAATAGTTGTCAGAACTGAAAGTTACCAACATAAAACTTGTTATTTATTATCTTATTTAAATCTAAGATTTTTAATACTATGAAGCTTTCTTTTTAAGACATAAATTAATTAATTTCTACCTAAGTTATCAAGATTTTGACGTCGATCATAGAATTGATTTTTAACACAAACCATTGTTGCACGAGTAGTCTGTTTAAGTAATGTTTCAAGTATTCTTATAGGATCTCTTGGTCGAATTGCTATTTTATTGTCGACATAATCCCAAAGAACCTAAAATTAATAAAAATGAATTTTTTTCTATTTTAATGAAAATAAAAAAAATTCTAACTTGTATATCATAAGATTTAACAAGATTAATAAGTGATAAACGATATTTTTGTTCTCGATCACTTTTTTTATCTTTAATTATAATTTCATATTGGTTTTTAAATCCAACAAGTAGCTCAATTGAATAAAGACTTTTTCCTTCATCATACCAAACAAATGGAAAATTTTCTCGATCAATTATTTTTTTTAAAACAAAAAAACGATCATCTTTCTTTGCTGGACGCCATGTATCATCACGATTTGCTGCTTCTAATTCAATATCATACTGATGACATTTTAATGTTCGAGGTATATTACATTTAAAATGATTTGTATACATTTCTAATTTTTGACCAGCTTGAAAAATAATTATGATTAATTTTTTTTAGATAGTAATAAAGAAAAAGAAATATTACCTGTTCCACCATGATCTGGTCGTTTAGCCATTGTTATAACAGATGTATCAGGCACAGCTGAACGAATTGCTTGTCTAAATGAACGTGTTGATCTAGCTCGGTTAGCTGATGAACGTGATGTTGATTTACGTTGTTGATCTGACGATGGTTTTCGTCCTGATGATGTTGATGAAGATATTTGATTTGTTGTACCATTCTCTTTAGTTTCTGGATGAGATTTCTCAGATATAACTGCCATTGATTGAGATCGATATGGTTCAGGTGGGCCTGTGTCTGGACGACTAGCCCTTTCTAATTAGAATAAATATCGAAATTATTTCAATAAACTTTTAATCAATGTATTTTAACTTACTTCCTCGTCCTCGACCACGTGTGCCTGATGTTGACATTGATTTTTATTAAAAATAAGCACAAACGATGAAGTTTGTATGAAAAGGACGAGACTTGTTCTTTATCTAACAATATATCGTTTGTGTTAAAAGTTCAAATAATGGGGAAAAATAATTTAGATATCTATATTGCATTTCTTTACATGGAGAGAGAGGGAGAGAGAGATGAAATAAAGATTTGAAACCAATGATGTGTAAGGATTAGAATTTTAATAATGTCAGAAATAGGCGACATCTTGTTCCGATTTAAATTAGATAAATATTTATTAGAAAATAAGATATTTTAAAGTAATGTATACTGATAAATTGAACGATTCGATCTTACTGAAGATTGTATCTAGAAGTTAACAAGTAACAATCAACAAAAACCTATTATTATAGAATATTTGTGGAAGAAAAGAATCATGCTCACGTACCATAGTTTTGAATTTTTCTTTAAATGGAATTTCAATCTTGTCTATCGCCTGTAGATTTAGATAGGCGAATTAATACTGCACTCATTTCTATTCTGTATCTTATTATTTATGGTTGTTAGTTTAAGTGCTTAATATAGTTCTTAGGTAGGCATGATAATGTATATAATTACGCACTACCTTTTTCACAGATGGTGTCTGATCTATGTGTTATCTATTATAGTTAAATGTTGATTTCCGCTGGTAAATAAGTTATATGACGAGTGTGCATGAGAAAGAGAACTATTCAATGAATTTTTATTACTGCAAATTTTCAACAGTTCTCTCTGTTTCATCTATTCAAAAGGCGAGCCAATTGCGCAAAAAATGTGTATCTTTTCTTCAGTTTTGTAATATTAGTCAACAATTTTTCTCAAGATTACAAAAAAATTCAAGCTATTGTCTAACCAAGAAATTAAATTTACCCAGTACTTCAAAGAAAATGACTTAACTGATACCAATTTTCTTTTAATCCTTTTCTTACTACGTGTAGCAGAAGAAAAAAGCTGTATAGGTGAATTTTTAGTTTAAATCATATTATGCCACATACTTCATTACAACAACCACATCAAATTACAATTAGGAAAAATGTTTTTGTATTTTCATGAATATAATGATACTTGTATCAGTATTTGACTATTTATTGACCTTCGGCTGACTCAATTTGCTGATGAACAAGTGAACGGTATGTGCTCACAACACTGATAGATAGTATGTAAGACCGAAAAACCATTAAATACCTCTACAGATGTCACTGATTTCTGTCAACTTCTATTAAACTATGAAGCTATTTATGTATTAATACAAATCTATAACATGAACATTTCATAAATCATGATGAAATCTATCACTTTATTAAAGTAATTAGCGTTGATTAATATTGATACGATCATTAATCACCTGTCGTAACCAATAAAATTATACATTTCTTCCTCCTTGTATATAAAACTATACAGAAAAAGAAAAGAGAGGAGTTAAATAAGTAAATCAAGCTCCTAGTATTCACTATCCAGATGGCCACATTTAAAGAGTCATACATATAGATAAAGATTACGAAACAGATGTCGCTCTTTCTACTTCTATTGCGTTCGTAAATTACTTGTTTGTTTCAGTTCTTATGGTGTCATTCAGTACATTATATAAGCTTCTTCATTTCATTTTGTTTTTTTCTACTAGAAAATCATCTTTCGTCATTTAGTATACATAAATAATTTTTTTCTCCATGAAAAGTTCTTTTTTTCAATAGAAGTTTACTCGAATTTATATTTTAGAATATAAAATATTATCACGTACAGATAGCACGTGACGCATAGTAACAGAGAGTAAAAAAAAGTATTTATAGCGCAATAGACTTATTTCTTTATGTATATATATATACGTATATGCCGCTTTTCTGGTTGTATTCAAGGATGTATCATCAAGTCATATATTTTTCATTATTTTAGATTTCAAATCGTATTTAACTTCTTTATTTATTAAATTAATAACTAGTATTTATTATGGCTAGTAGTCTTACACGTACTTTCCTTTTCGGCTCACGAGGTAATTTTAATATTAATTGTATTTTTAAAAAAAACATGATATAAATATATATTTTAGTCGTACAAACAAGTTTCGTACGAACACTTGCCACTGGACAAGGAAAAGGTCCAATGGACTATGTAAAACAAGGTGTTGATCAACTTGGTCAAGCAGCTGAAAAAGTTAAAGAAGCTGTTAGCAGTGCTACATCAACTGTTGTTGGTGCCGTTACTGGTGACAACAATGCTAGTAGGATAATCCTATTTATAGTTATTTAAAAAGATATATTAATAAAAATATATTTCTAGATCAAAAAGTTGATGATGCTAAACGTCATGGTTAGTTTAATTTAAATTAATTTTCAAAACAAAAGTGAACATTTTTCTTGTCTTTAGGTAATCGTGCTGCTAATGATTTCCGTAATGCAGCTGATGAAGCAAAAAATCGTTCAGGATATGGAAATACAAGCAATAGTTCAAAATCTCAATCATCTAGCGGTTATGGAAGTGGTAGTTCATCACGTTCTGGTAGTTTCAGCAATGAAACAACCACTGATAAAATAAAAGATAAAGCAAGTGAACTCGCAGACAAAGCAAAATCAAGTGTAAGTAAACTTTTCTATGAGGACAACATTTAATTTTTCTTTTGTATTAGGCGAAATCAGCTGGTTCAACTGCTCAAAATTATGCTAATCAAGCTGCTAACAAAGCTCGCGAAGGTAAATTAATTTAATACATATATTGTGTTCTTCTTCATTATTATTGTTTTATTTTCTATTAGTTGCTGATGATGTCGCTAGTTCCGCTAAGAGTAAGAATATTATTTCCATTATATAATTGAATTTTTTCTATCTATTAATTATTAATTTAGATGCAGCTAATAAAGCAGCTGATTGGGCAAAAGACAAAGTAAATATATATAATATTATTGAATTTTTTTATATGAATATATTTTCTTTGATAGAAACAAGATGTATCTTCAGATTCAAAACGTACAGCTGATGCAACTATAAATAAGGCTCGCGATGCAGTTAAAAGTGGTGCTGATAGCGTCAAATCTGCTGCTGATAAAGCTGCTAGCAAAACTAAAAAGACCTATGTAAGTTAACATTTATATTTGATGTAATATTTATTTTTCTCTTTATTTTTAGTAAACAAATACAAGTTTGATCATCGTCATATCTCTGTAGTTATTTTCCCTGTTTCTTTTGGTAGCATAGCAGATATTTTGAATGGTTTCATAACATTTTTTCTTTTAATATAATCAAGCATTGGTTAGATATAACCGTATATATTATTTTGAACAGCTTTTGATGTAATTTCATTTTTTTCCATGTATTTGTAGCTTTCTTTTTTATGTAACTTTCGCAAGTAAATAAAGAAAAAGAAGACTTCATATATAATATAATATATTTGTCTATAGGGCTTTTCAAATAATAATATTAAATAGGTTCTAGGTCAAATATAAATTATATAACAATAAGATATTCAGAATAGTAAGTTTTAATACTATTAATTATTAATATCCTATTGTAATTTACTGATGACATGATATCTATAAGTGTGAGTTACTATTTTGAACGAAAGACTTACTAGACTATGAAGGTTTTTTCTCATCGAGTTTTCAACAGGAAAAACAATCGATGCTATGTATAAAGAAAGATATTGTAGCCGAAGAGTATTGATTTTATCAGGTTTGGATAAGCATTGTCATAGGTGACTGGTCTAGATATACGTACACATGTAAACAATAATGTGATCATTGTACGAATAAGCTATTAGTTTATTAGACTCTGAGAAATATTATTTTGAACACTGCGATGTTCACGTCTCTTATTATTCTCGTTCGATGTTAGGAAAGTTTAAACTTTAAACAATTGAAAATAGCATTTTTAAATGATTACTCATATTTCCTGATCGATTATATATTGACAATAAATATTGAGTAGTGCTGAAATCAATAGTTTATAAATAATCCTTTTGTATTGCACTATTTGTGAAGGTCATATCTTTCTTCATATATGCCGTGAGATATTTTTCTTTTTGAAAGATCCTTGAGAAATATAGCTTTCTACTATAAGAGTCAACTCATTACATTCCATAGTCTAGTATTTTTTTGAATTAAGTCAACTATTCACAGATTTGTCATGTTCTTTTTATTGTAATGGTCTTTTTATAATTTACAATATTAAAAATGTCACTTTAAAGCAAAATATATTAATATATACTCTGTTATTTTTAGAACAATGAACATCTTATCTTAGAAACTTAATATAAATAATCTGTTGTTTAATGTTGTATTTTTATATTCTATAAATGCGTTAATCAGGCTTGCTAAATTCAATTGACGTAAATAAGTAATTAGATTTTATGCAAATTGAAATCATCAGTTGAAAATGTTATTTCTCAATAGACCTTGAAACGTTCAGTTATAAAAAAATTATTTTACAATTCAACCAGATCACCTTTTATAACCGAGTAAAAACATAGAATTTATTGATTTGAATTCTGATATATGTCATTTATTTTCTGATAATACTCACAAAGGATCACACAATTCAATTTGAAAATATTCTTTAATATCATAACAAAATCTTTTGTAGTGAACATCTTGTCTGTTTTGAGTATTTGAGTTTAGTAAAAGCTATATACAGGTCGATTACGTTACTTTCAATAGTCTTGTATAATTTATTGTATTAATGTGGAACACTAGAAGTTTCTTATTTTGATAAAGTTGGATAGAGCACCAATTATTCTATCGATTCAAACAGTTCACATTTTATGTTTTCTAGATCTAATCTAAAAAATTGATAAGTCTCCAAAAGCAACCAAAACAATTTTTTTCAGAAGCATACAGTATGCTTAATTAAAAGCTCTACAATTTATATAAAACCCCTTTTTTTCTATCTTTAGTTTTTATTCTCAAAATTGGCAATATTTTGAGCAGCTAAATTCCGACTGCCAGAAAACTGATTTCACAGTATTTGTTCACAATTATCAAAATCTTCAATTTATAAATTGTAGAGCTGTTCGCGCTACATCTTTTGGTATATTTTTTTCGCCAGAGACATATTACATGATAGAAATACAAAATTAGAAAAAGGAATCTCTTATTCCTGTAAAAAAAATGTTTTTTTTTCCAATAGTACTGAATATTGCTTTTTTGGAAAACAAAAAAATGCACAATTAATATAGAACTTTTAACGTTGCATTTTCTCATATATTTGGTTTTTAATCAAGCATACTGTATACTTCGGAAAAACATTTTTTGGCTGCTTTTTGAGATTCATTAATTTTCTGGATTAGAACTGAATGACACATGAAATGTAAACTATATGACTCGATAGAGTAATCGATACTCTATCCAATTTTATCAAAATAAAAAATTTCTAGTGTTTCACACAAATTACACAGAACTATCAAAAATAACGTAATCAACCTGTATTTTCTTATATATTATCATTTTCATTAAATAGTATGGTAATTCATTATTTTTTTGTCATGAACTTATCATTAATACATGATATATAAGAGTCAATAAATTTATATAGATGAATCTCATGCGTTAAACGAATATTTATAATCCATCCCTTGTGCAGATCGATGATAGTACTATTAAATATTTGTTTATAGAATAAACTTTAAAGACATTTTTGAAAACTAATGGATTAAAAAATAGTGATGCATGGATGTACTTTTATTCCATGACTTTCTATTGGACGATGTTCGAATTATCTAAATTAATAGTAATCTTGACAGATCGCACTGAATAGTAAAATAGGAACATTTTATAATCCTATTATCAGGACACATGAAGTGTCTTAATTCATATTATATATTAATCAATATATGAATGATTAAATGAACATCATTAGCATATTCTTATCCTCGATAAGTTCGAGCAAAGAATTTTTAAATATCTAGGTGGATTTGGGAGCCAAAGAAATATAATGTAATGAAGCACGTAAAGTGTAAATGTTAAGAATAAAAACTCAGGAAGTAACGCCTGTCGTGCAGAGAATAAAAATTAATAACATCAAACTAATAATAAACTTATTTATATTTCCTTTGCAATTATATCTTTCGAATACATTTAATCTATTAATTAGTACTATTTATATCGCATTCTTTTATTTTTCTCTATCTATAATATATTAAGTGCATATATAATATCTACGGAAGCCATCCTATATTTAAGATTGTTTTCAATTCTTTCTAAAGTACATTTTTCGCCTACTCTTAAAGTCGACACAAATAAATTTAATAAAAATTATATTTATCATATCAATTTGAGTACTTTTATTAAGGATTCATGCATCGAATATATAATATAGTAGTTCATAGAAATTGATGTGAGATTCAAAATGACGCACTTAAATATTTTCTTTTCTTTATGAACAACTGACAACATCTAATCTGATTAAGTTGATAAAATATTTTAATATTTAAAAAAGATAAATCTATATTTTCTAATAACATTTATTTATTTGATGTCTACTATAAAATCTACGAACAATTAGTATATTGATTTATGCTATTTTGAGATTCTTCGACATCTAATACAAATGTATACGACGTGCTATATGTCATTGTCTGCACGTCATTTATCTTATTTCGTATTTTCCCTAAGAAATGGTGCGTGTCAACTATATTGTTCATAGAACTAATAATAAAATTATATTAAAAAGAAACTAGTTATTTTCACTTTATCTCTGGGCGGAAAAAGATCATCAATACTGATAGTATGTATATATATGTTAGATAGGTATAAATCAAATAAAAATATAGGATTTATGTATCACAACTCTTTCTGTCGTGTATCAGTTCTATGTAAAGAAAGACTAGTGATGTCAAGGTGAAAGTAGTATGATAAAAATTTATTCTCGTATCATTGCATTGAGTAACACGGTTATTTTCACTAGAAAAAAAAAGGTATGAATAATGAATCCGTAAATAATTTCCTGGTTCATAACATTAAGCATGTCGGAAAGATAACACATGCAAAGAAAATCGGCTATAAATCTTTTCAAGATTCTAATGTTTATGTCTCTCCGATGATATATTACTCAGCTGTATTTGTATTGATTCGTCAAATGAAAATGATTTATTCTTTTTCTACTTGATCGAACATTAGTAATCCATGCTTATACGCTTGTACGAGAAGGGTATTCCCATAATCGGTATAATTATTTTCTTAGTTTCGGAAGATTAATGTCATAATTATGATTTATTATCTGTATATTATAGGATATATATTTACTTTTTAGAAAAATAAATATCAAATCTGATATAAATTTAAACTTGTATTTTTTATTGCAGCACTTTATCCAAATGCATCAGAATACTGTGATAGTAGCTCAATGAATCCTATTATTCGAATATTCTAGCAATATTATTAAAGATTTTGATTTGGAAGTCGTAGAAGTGTTAATCGTCTTGGATTACTAGGTAGTTTTGTTTCCACAGTATCTGGTGAAGGTACAGATGCGAATTGATAATGATGAAGTGCAATACGTTCACGAATAGTTTTCTTTCTTCTTCGATTTCGTTCTTTCATATATAAACATGGTCGATATAGATTACGAAATAATAATATAATATCACGACGAAAACGTTGACTTGTAAATATATACGCATAAAAATTAATTGAATGACTAATATAACGTAAAATAAATGCTATTTCAGTCCATTCATATAAAGTACTAACTATATCACCAAATGGTATCAAAAGAAGTTGAATAATACAATACGGTAAATAACATAATGTATATGTTATTGATATGAAAAGTAATGTTGAGCGTGTTGAACGATAGCTTGCTCCTGAATTATCTGAACGTCGGCCAGTATACTCACAAATTTGTGTTTCATAGACACGTTTTATATAACATACAATCGCTATATTAACAATAAATGTTAACATAGATGGTAAAACAAGATTAAGAAAACCTGCAACAATTATATTTAAGAATAATGTTAATGGATCATCGTGATATTCAGGACGTATAAAGCAACGTGTTGAATTATGAGAATAATCATTAGTATCAATAGAAAAATTATCATATGTTAATAATTCTTCTCCTCGATGATAATCTAATGTAACGATTAAATAACTATTTGCTATTGAAAATATAATTGTTAAACATATAACTAAAATAATATTTGATCGTATTGTATTTAATCGTTGAAATATATTTATAAATCTTATTACTGTAAAACATGTTATTAACCATGAACAAAGTGCAGCAAATAAACGATTTATAATAAAAAAAAAGAAGCATGAAAATGGCGATATATGCATTAAAGAAAAATAATGACTTTTATTTATTGAATAAAGATAATGAAATAATGTTTCAATAATCCAATATAGTAATAAACAAGTGTCTAAGATAAACAAAAGACATATGTTTTAGACAAAGATTTATTGAAAAAAAAGAAATTAATAATCAAGCAACGGAAATCTATGAAGGCATGCTAATTATTTTTTCGTCGTTTAATGTTAGGAAATGAAATTATAATATAGTGAATTAATACATCCTTTTTAGTGGTTCTGATAATAAGATAAGATAGGGAAACATCAGATAATAGTCTTTTGTCTGAAAATGCTTTTCCTGTATTGATAATATCGATAATTATGCTATTAATCATAGACTATTTTCTTCTTTATCTGAAAATCACAATAAGTATCATTTATCCTCTATACTCAGATTTCACTGTTACTATCAACATATATTTATATAATCTAATTGAGTTAACTCATGATAATTTACAATTGAATCATTGACAAATAGGATAGCAATAAATTTCTTTAAACACTTACCTAAAATTGATATTTCAACAAGATAAAGATGAAACACTTTTCGTTCAAAATTAATTCTTGTAGGAAATAATGCTTTTATACAAACAATTATTGTTAATATATTTCCTGGTAATCCAAATATGCAACATATAGTTGCCATTACTCTTCGAAAGACTACTATATGATCAACAAGCATTATTTCATTCGTATATTGTCGATTCTCATTAATATCATAGAAGTGATATATAAAAATCTGAAATAAATATTAAAAAACAAATATTCAAATCTAACGATAAGACATATAAAAACATTATTTTTCTATCTACAATCTCGGTAGGAGAGAGAAGCCGTGGGTGGTTCTATTCTAAAATTTCTCTCATATCAGATATCTCGTACACAAGGTTTTTTATATAATGATTAAAAAACATCATATGAGGAAATTAATTTTGAATAGCTTCGACTAGAAATTCTTGTTTTTTAAGGTTGAGATGTATATATTAAACTCATGTTTATAATAATTAGAAAACACGAATTATAAAGTTCACGAATTTGATTATTAATCGCTTGACATATAAACATACTAATGATATAAGAATAGAAAATAGTAGGTCATTTCGGTCCATTAGATAATTTATTAGTTGTTTTACTTCAAAATATTGAATTTTCTTATAAATGTATAATAAATAAATCCATCTAACGACAAAAAAAGGTTTAAACAAATGTTCTAGGTAACGACTTTCTTTGGAAGCTATACTTGAGTCTGAGTATCATATTATTCCTTTAATTCATGTCAACATGCACATAGTTTTCATCAGTAATAATACCAAAACTCAAATATTCACGAAAAGAAAACTGAATCATAATCTTTTAATATCTAATCTGCTTAAGATTTTCTCAACAGACACTCATCTTCTACGTGCATATTCAATTACTACAAAGAAAAATGAATAGAAATACATGATATTTTAGAATTCTGTATTTCTACGTCATATAAAATAACTCCTATTACCTATTAGTACATATCAAAAGTAGAAATTTGAAATAGAATTGAATGAACAACCAAAAGAAAAGGAATAAAATAAGTTAATGAATTTGGACCCGCTAATATAATAAAAGGAAAATTGCCTACCGCGTAAATTAATACGTGTTCTGCTTGTTTTTTTTTGTTGGCAAGAAATAAACGATTTCAGAATAACACACCCTCTAGCCCGGAAACTGATATTAATTCTTTCAGCTACAATTCAACTAGAATGTTTTTAATAAGAATAAAGGATACGAATAAGATAACTATATGACCTTACTCTATGACAAGAAACATAGCATCTTCCGTTTTCTCTTTCTTGTTTTCTTCTATTCAAATCTATATTTTTCTTTTCTTTTTTCTTTTTCTCATCGAGAGATAGTTAATAACTAAGAGTAGTTCGTGATGACACACGTCATTCTAAGTTGTATTCATCTATCTGTTTTGATCCGAACTAAATCATATAGCATCGATATAAAAACTTTTTTTGTATCTTCTGCAATAATGAACATCAAAATTAACAAATGAGCTTCATTAATATCATTGAAAAAAAATTATATAATTATAAAATATATTAAATATAATGAAAAATAAACAAACAATATTTTTGATATATCTATATCGTTGATTTAACAAAATAAACTGTAGACAAATATTTTCTATTTTTATGCTACATTTATTTGTTGATCTTGCCAACCACGAATGTGTTTATATATATATATATATATCAATAAAAAAAGAACTCAGTAGCAACGGTGGATGTATATGATCAATCGGTATTTAATTATAATACTTTTTCCGAAGTTATATTTAAAAGAATAAAACTAGTCAGCATATTTTTTTTCTTCTCTCGTGTTTTACACTGGTTGCTAACACATAAATATACATTCTGATTTCCTATAAATCAGCCGCTTTCTCGGAGAAATTCAATGAAGTATTGTTACATTTGTATATAGAAAAGTTTTTTCTTTCGCAGGTAAATAATTGCACATACATACATGAATATCACATATGTTGTAAAAAATTGTAATGTTTATCTTTGAAGTTAGTCTCTTATCTTGAGTAATTAGTTAATATTCATATAACTAATTATTTTTTTTTGTTTCTATTTATAGGTTAGTATGTACGGAAGAGGAAATGATTAATTGAAGTCATTTATTAACAAGAAAAACATCATGTCGTATGCATCGTTTCATAACATAAATTTGATGAGAATTGATGAAAAGAAGAATATATCGAAATTATTTCTTAACTTCCTCATTAAAAAAAGAACTTTTTTTTGTAAACAAAATCAATCTTACGAAATCTATCTCTATAAAATTCAAAAAACATGTTTTTGTTTCTATTCCAGTAGTTATCAAATTGACAACGATCTTGATTCGTTTATACAAGCATCTCGTCTTCAACGAGCAAATCTAATGGCTAATTCAACACAAGCTCCTTCGATATCAAACTATGATAATCTAAATTCAGCTACTTTTCAGGCACCTGCAAATGAAAATCCTCCAGTTTTACAAGCATTATCAGCAGATGATGTACAAAAAATGAAATATAAAATTGAACTTGGTTAGATAAAATAACAATAATTTCGTATTTCTAAATTTCTATAATTATTATAGATAAACAAGTAACTGAAAAACAACAACGACTAGCTCGTGAATGGGAAAACAAAATTGAACGTGACAAAAAATACGTGAGTCAAATTTTTTTCTTAATTGATTTCAAAATGACGATGACAGTTTTATAACCTTCATAATTCGTCTTTCTTTCCTCTCTTTCTCAATCCTTTTTCTTTTTTGTTGCGTTTACATTTCAAAAAAGAAAAACGAGTCTCTAAGAGAGAGAAACAAACATTACATGTATAAAATTTTTTTTTTCTTCACTACCTGTATAGGTTCAGCATACACCATTTGGAAGACATAATCGAACAACTATTTTTAGTAAGAATAAAATTGTCGATAAGTATAAATAATAACTTTTAAAAATATTGCATTAGATAAACGAGAATTAGAAGAAATTTTAACAAAAGGTCGTGCTCCATCACCAGTATTAGAAATGCCATTGCAATATTCACTTCATCACCAACCACATTCAACGGAAACATACATTCCAAATGAAAATAATTTATCCAAGACAAATGGTTCATCGCAACAACCGATATATGATAATCATCCACAATATCCTGTCTATTCATCTACACAACCACAACCAACAAATACTAATTTTGATTTCCAACGTTTTTATGAGCCAGTAAGTTGACATATAATAAGATTTCCTTTTTTTACTATCCGTTTACTAGTAAAAAATCATTAATAGCATATCGAACAAAAAAAAAGAAGACAAATACGTCATTGTACTTGAAAATATGTCGGATGACTTGACAAATAACATTTGTATACGAAACTAATAAATATATATATATATATTTGTATATGACTATAAACGATGCTTATTCTTCTTACTTATGACATAAACCAATTATATTGCTTATGGCAGTTAATGATGCTTTTCGAATACTGGATAGAATCGACCGAACCAAACATTAGAGTATACTTTCTAATCTATTCTAATGTTAATAAAAAAATGGCAGATAAATATGTATCAGTTTCCGGCTTTTTAAGAGTTGATATAACTTACATGATTTCTCAATAGAATACAACTATTATTTCAGTACATTACATGGTACTTTAGTATTCCCAGATGTTTAATAATAAATATCATGTTGCAAAAATATTTTTTCTTGAGTGAAGATAAATTGTATAAATTGATTAACGAATCAATGTTTATTTGTCTTAGAGCAACCTTTCTAATCCAAATGGAACTAGCATTAGTACGTCTCAATCAACAAAAGGCGATGTTCATGACCCATTTTCTTCATATGGTAAAAGAACTTTAATAAAAATAGAATAAATTATATTCATATGATTAAACATTTATGTAGATCCAAATAAAGAAGGTCAGAATGCATTTAATTCAATTCCTCAGCAAGATCTATATGATCCATGGGGACGTCCAGGAGCTGGAGCTCCATTAGTTCATGCATCAACAGGTCAAAAATTTACACGATACTCTGGTAGTCTACAAGATAAACAGGTAATTCCTTTTTTTTCTATACGACCTTGATTTTTTGTATATACATATATATATATATACAGCATCGTACTGGACCACTTGGTTATCATCAAGTTCAATATATACATCATATTGAAGATCAAAAACGTGATGCTGAACCAGAACAGACGCGTCGCCAACAAGAAGACATCGACCGTCGATCTAATGTAAATATATATTATTTGAATTTAATCATGAGTGTTTACTAATCAATTTTAACCATATTGGCATATATTATACAGAAAAAACAACTGTTACTTCTATCACCGAGGGAAATCTTACGAAAAGATTAACATTGATAATAGTATCTAATTTAAATCTATTTACGCATTTTCTTTAATAAGAATTCTTAGAAAAAATACTTTTTGATATATAACAATGTCAAGAAACAACTGTTGTAGACTCGATAAAAAATGACACCTATTTTTGACATGTGACAATAAACATCGATTATGTTTTCTTTTAAAGAAGCCAATCTATCATTTATACACCTCAAAAATTAATCTCTTATAGACTAGTCGTACGGCTGATTGGAATAATAACTTTAATAAAATTAATTATCCAACAAAATTTCAATCACCATCAACAGAAACATCTCGAGAGGTATTTTTCAAATATAAAAAGATTTAATTCTTTGGAAATTATCTATTCACCCAGTTTATATTAAGAGGAAAAATTATTTTTTTATTAATCAAAGCTTTTTACTAATCAATATAACCTGGGTGAATGAATAATTTCAAAAACTAACTTTATTTCTAATAATTTTTCTTTCATTTAATCAGAAATTTATTGATACACGTGCGCGACATCGTTCCGAAGATAAACGTGTATTATACGGCGATCTTATACAACAAGCAGAAGAACGTGCAAGATTACAAAAATTAAGTCGTCGTGAAAATAGTTTAGCTGAATTACAAGTAATCAATAACTTGTCTCTCTTTTTGTCCACGACAATTAACAATTCTTTCTATCTATAATTAGCATACAGTCGCAATGAATAATTGGTGGGGTCGAGGCGGTAGCGGTGCACCAGCATTTACAGTTCGACGGCATAATGTTCAAAATTCTTTTGAAAATCCACGTCAAAAATGGGTATAGGAGATTCTCGAATCTTTTGTATATAATAAAAATGTTATGATTATTTTTAGGTAACAAATCATTTAGGTCAATTAGTTGCAGCTAATGATGAGCCGACGAATCGAATTCAAATTCAATCATCAGATTTTTACTATCCAAAAAATAAACAATATTCAAGCCATCGAAATAATTATGAAATAGGAGATGATTGATTATACATTATAAATCAGTTTCTTTATTACTATTATTATTTTTTGTTTATTTTTCCTTTTTTTTTAACAATTTCACAAAATATAACAGTATACACAATCAAATTAAAAAAAGAGAGTACTTTTTTGCCTTGTTAAGGTAAACTTTTCCATTCACCACGACACATTGGGCATAATTTATTTGTTTGTTGAGAATTAATCCATTTCATAATACAATGCTCATGAAAACAATGTCGACATTCACCATGTAATACAGGACATTGATCACCTGGATAACGACATTCGGAACATGACGCATCGAATGGCATTCGACATATTCCACATGAATCATCATTTGTTACCCATTTCCATACGGCAACACCATTGAATTCTTTTAAACGTATACGCATCTAAAATATCAATTTTGTTTTTTATACATATGTACATATATATATATAGCATCAAGATTACTTATATTCTAATAACAAAAAGAAAAGAAATAAAAAAATTCTGTACCGTTCTTTAATCAAAAGAAAAAATATATATGAGATAATAATTATATCAGTTTGTTTAAATCTGATCATAAGTTTCATCTACTAACAACAAAGAAAGACAATGACAAAAAATAAGTGAAAGAAATATGGAATCCAAGATTCGAAACAAACCATACAAAATAAGGTATCGACAAGCTTAAAAGAAAAAAAGAAAAGAACAAGGCACACACATAACGTATCTGTACAGAGAAAAGAATTTTCTCTTTTTCATATCTATATATATATGTATATATTAAATTTTTCTTCGACTGACTAAATACGAGACAATTTATATAAAAAAAAAACAACAACATGCATAGATTTGTTTCTATTAAGATTTTTTCTTCTGACGTTCTTGTTCACGTTGACGTCGAATGGCAAGTGCAGCTAATCGTTTTTGCTCAATTTCAGCTTCGGTACATGTTTTCTTTTTTATTTCATTACTTGAATCACATCGAACACGTGGTGAATTAACTGTTGCTTTATTTTTAGTGACAATAGGTGACAATGGTCCAGTACTTGATCGTTGTAGACTTGTAGTAGATGATCGAGTTTGACTATGACTAGGTTGACTAGATAATTCGATTTTTGTTGTATTATGAATTAATGATTGATTTTCTTTTGTTAACATAGCTGATGCACGACGCGTAGCATCAAGACGTGTTACATTATCATCATCGATATTATCTGGCGTTGATATTGACATTGAATCATTACTATTTGATACTTGTTCCGATGGTAATTCAGCAGGAAATTGACTTAATAATTGTACAAAATCATCATCATCATCATCATCCCAAATAATTTTCGATGAAATCGGTTGTAAACAATCCGATTCTGATGATGCTTTAAAGAACAAAAAAACAATATATAATAAATTTTTAAAGAAGAATTCAAATTTTATTTATTTACATTGTATAACATTTGTTGATTCAAGTACATTTATGATTGTTGTTGTATCTATAAGTTGTTTTGTTCGAGAATGAACAGCTGGTGATGACATTGTTCGAATTTTTCCTGGAGTTTTTCTATTTGCTGTTGATGGTAAATCCCAATCATCCCATAAAGCATCATCAATAAGATCTGTATCGATATTATCACTATTATTTACTGTTAAACATTGATTTGATGGAGGAATAAATGATAAATAACTATCATGACTTATATAACGTGATATAGCTGATGGTGAAGCACATTGTTCAATATTCGATGGAGGAGATGATGAACGTATACGTTTAGGCATTGGCATTTCTCTAGAAGAAGAAGAAAACAAATATAGAAATATGATTTCTTTTTTGAATATTTACATTGTTGTTGTATCATTAGTAGATTCTCGTTTACATGTTTCAGTAAATTCAATCATTGTACGATATGCATTATCGACATTTTCTTTTGAGCTTGTCAATGTTGTATAACTGGTAAAATTTCAAAGTAAAAGATTAGTGTTTAGATTTTAAATTTGTGAAAACCAATACTTCTTAAGATTATTTAATCGAACGGGACGTTGTGCTGTATGATTATTCATTACCGCCGATTGGCATATACTGAAGACACGAGAAGTTATTCGATCGGGAGTTTTTCGTGGCTATAGAAAATATATTATATATAAATATATATGTATCTATTCATCAAACATACTGGATGTATTTTGGGTTTTGATCGTGGTGGACATGCTAAAATAAATAAATTATCTTAGACCAAATAATAAAATTCATATATGGACTTTCATATTATCAATGTCAATATAAGTAATCTTATTTCTATTTATAATTTAATAAATATTATGAATGATATACTTTATGCCATAAAAAATAATTACAAAGTGTTTTCTATCTCGATGTCAAATAATATTGTTCTGTTTATTATAGATTGATGAAAACAAAACACCTACGTTTATTCAATAATGCTGTACGCTCTGTATCCGATATATCCTGCCAACTGACGGTAACGTCGTTAAAATTCATATCTAGAGTGCAAATATCAATCAATTATTGCATCGTACATTGTAGGAAAACGCTAAAAAAATGTATAAAAGATAGATTATTCTCCGAAAAAGAAAAATGAAAAATGTAATTGAATAAATGATCATTATTTGTCATTCTAAAACAAAAACTAGCCAGGAAAAAAACGATCGACGAACCTGTTTTTCGTTTTCTAAAAAGTAGAGAAAAGAACAGACGAGTATCATTTATATATATATATATGTACATATATCCAAAGAATTAGATCACACGAAATTCTGTTTTTTGCTTGGGTACGTATTTGTTCAGCTAGTTATGAAAAAAAAAACAATACGTACGAATACATCTGTTGATAATGATGAAAAACAAAAAAAAACCGAGTAAACAAACAAACAAACATTCAAGAACAAATAATAAACAAACAAAAAGAAAAAGAACTGATCAAGATGGAGGATAATGATGACCATAGTGAGGATGAGGATGAGGAGGTGGAGGTCCATAGTTCTGTGATGAATGACCATAGCCATAAGGTCCCTGTAGAGGCATTGGTCCATTAAATCTTGGCGGCTGAGAAAGATGTCGTGGTGGCATAGGACCATATGATGGTAGGTGTGGACGAAGATCGGGTGGATAATTTGTTCGTGGACCATAATAAGGTGGTGGTGTATGAGGATTATCGTATGGCGAATATTGTTGTTGACGTGGTGGTCCAGGATAATGTGAAAGAGGTAGATGAGGCGGACGTTGCCAATTGGGTGGATTTGGGTACATATGTGAAGGAGCTTGTGGATTCATATCAACTAAAGGCATTAATTTTTGTTGACTTATTGTTGGTATAGGTAGTGATTGCTTATTACTAATCGATGAAAGTGTTTTTGACTTTTGATCGAGTTGAATACGAATTGGATGTTGTTGATGTTGATGTTGATGTTGTTGTTGTTGCTGTTGTTGTTGTTGTTGCTGCTGCTGCTGGTGGTGATGCTGCTGCTGTTGTTGTTGTGGTGGTGGAATTAATGGTGGAATTGATGCTGTTGGTGTCATAATAGAATTTGATGATGATGATGTTGGTGCTATTGGTGCTGTTCCTGATGTTGGTCGAGCAGATACTGCAGCAATAGCGGCAGCAGCAGCTTGTCCAATTGTATGTGCTGTTTGTGGTGTAGCTAATGAAGCTGATGCAGTAAGTGCAGCTTGTAAACGTCGAGTATTATATGACACACGTGGTTGAGTATTTGATGAATCTGTTGTTTCATCACTCTGTTGACGTATAACATAGTTTTTAGCACGTGTTAAAACTTCTTGCATTTGTTCTGTAGTTAATGGTATATGACGACTTAATGGTGATGATAATGATAATTGACTAGTTGAATTTGGATTTCGTGGGTTACGTTGTTGCTGTTGTTGTGCTAATGCTAATTGACGACGAACTAATTCTTGTGTTAAAGCAATATCTTGTTGTTGATTTTCAGTTAATGCAGTTTCTGATGATGTAAAACGTGTTCTTGATTTGATCTGCTGTTGTTGTTGTTCATTATCAAAATCTGATTCAAGTGAAGTTAATTGAATTGGTTTTGTTGCTTGAGTTAGAACTGGACGAGATCTTGATGATGAAAGATTTTGTTGTTGTTGTTCTTTAGTTGCTCTTGATGCTGCAATGGTTTGTTTAATTGAATTATCGAGTGTAGGATTTGTTGAGGGTACAACTTGTGTTTCACTAGCAACTTTTGGTGGTGCATTATCAGCAAACATATGCTGATAAGCTTGTAAAAAGTTTGGATTAGAAAGTACTTGTTGTTGTACATGTGAATAAAGATTTGGATTAACAAGCATTGCCATAACAAGAGCTGGATCAAGAATTGTTGATAATGGATGATTCGCTGCTGTTGTTGCAGCTGATGCTGTCGATGAAGAACCCGTTGTTGATTGTTGAGAAGATAATGGTGGTGCAAGAGATGGTTCTGAATTACCCAAAATAGAATTTTCATATTTGGCTAAAAGAAAACAACAATAACAACTAAATGTATTTAAATGATAAAAAAAAGAATATCGAATTATACCTTTTAATGTTTTTGCATGTTTACATATTTTATTTCTCATTTTCTTAAATTTCTTTTCAATATCAGCATTTGTATCACCATTCAAAATTTGTGCTTGTAATTTATTTCTTTGTTTTATTAATTGTCGAAGTTCATTTGTTATCCTATAATATATAAAAACAAATTACTAAATCATTTAGAAAATAATAATAATTACCATGGTTTTTCATTTAATGATGATTTTGTTAAATCATTCATTCCATCATCAATTAATTTCGTTTTTTTTCTAATATGTTTTTCAGTATCATCATCCGATAATGCATGTTTAGATTTTTTACCATTTAAATCGATTTTATTTTCTTCATCACTTTCAATTTCTCCATCTTCTGTTTCAGCAGTAACTTGTAATGTTAAGAAAAGATCTTGATCATTATCATCAATTAAATGACGAAATAAATTTGATGATGATATATTATTATTTAAACGTAAACGACGTTTAATTTCTTCAATACAACTTATATTTGAAAAGAAATTTGGTTGTGGTTTATGACAATGAACACGTACACGACCAAAATTTGTTGTTAAATATTCTCGATAGGCACTACTTTTTTCATCATCAAGATGAAAAAATTTCATAGGACGTATTAATTTCATTACACTCATATCAATAATACTTTCGGAAGGTGGCGTTTTCGAACGATATGATATTGTTGATTTTGAAGGATTTAATGCAAGATTATCAACAATTTTCTTTAAACGTTTTTGTTCAATGGGTGGTGTTGATTTTGTATTTTCATCGTCTGAACTATCACCGAGTTCACCATCTTCACGTTTTTCTTTATCACCGGTTTTTGCTAAATGAAAAACAAAATAAAAGAATTTGAAGATAAAGGAAAATAATGAAAATTTTACCACTGTTTCTTTTCATTTGTGCTTCTTTTTCTTTTTCAGCAGCTGCTTGTCGTTGAGCTCTTAATTTTTCTCTTTCTTGTGCACCTGCTTTTTTTATACGATCAAGTTCTAATTTAAGTGCATGATCATTATCAATAGAAGATTTTAATAATATCTGATTATTTGTTTTATCAGATGGTAAATGATTTGTTTTATTAGATTTTGGTACAAGACGATTATCAAATGATGAATCACGCTGTTCTTCTGGACGATCAAGATCTTGATATGAAATCATATTTCGATTATTTTCAATTTGTTGTTGTTGTTGCTGCTGTTGTTGTCGACGACGTTTATTTGTTTTTGATGGTGATGATGTATTTAATAATAGAGATTCATCATTATTACTATTATTTGATAAAAGATGTTGTCGTACAAGTTTATCTTCATCTTCAAGAGGTTCCAAAAATGGTATTTGATCTGCTGAATTAGCAATACGCATTAATTCATATGTAGTATTATGTGGTGGTGGAACATAAGTTATTGGAGTTTGAGAATTCGGATTAAATTGTTGATGTGGATGAAGTAATGGTGGTGGAGGTGGAGGTGATTGTGAATGATATGTATTAGGATGTGGATGTGGATGCCATGGACCATTTGGACGTAATAATGGTACAGGACCAGGACGAAAATTGGGAGTATTTTGCCATTGTTGTGGTGGAGTTCCTTGAGGTAATAATGGTTTTTGTGGTTGATAATTTGGTTGTGGTTGTTGTCGACGTGCGTAATCACGACCCTAGAAATGAATAATTTATGTTTTGAATAAAGGTTAGTAAAGATTTGGGCACAACAATGAAAAGAAAAATAAACGTTAATTAGTTATGCATTGGCATTACCCCGAAAAAAACACCGCCATCATTCGGTGCCGGCATAAGACGCTGGGGTGGTCGAAGTGGTGGAACCGGCGATGGATGGCGCATGCCTATATAATTGGTACATATAAAAAAATAGAATCAAACTAACTGTTTCTCTGGGATATATATCTTTTCGCAATAAATCATACCTGGTCTCATTAGACCGTGAACAGATGATAATTAAGAAAAAAAATAGAATACTAAGTCTACTCAAACAAATACTTGATTAATAATTACGAAAACGAACGTTATTCGAAGCATATAAGTATAGATAGAAGAAAGAAGTTTATTATCAAATAAAATATTGAATAGCCATTTTTAATGATACATTGACTTGACCTCCAACCATTTTTCAAGAAAAATAATCAGAAGATTTTGATAGAATAAAGTCAAATTAATTTATATATTTTTTTCTAGAATACTGTTCTTGAATGTTTTTATCGATTTTAATGAAATATCTTATCAAACAATAGAGGACGCACTTGTATGATCCAGTGCTTATCACGACATCTAGCGAATAAAAAACGAGTTTTCGGCAATTGTTTGTGTATCAAGTCGGAGAGTGAACTAATATATCAGTTTTTGATGTTCATTCGTGATAGCATAGAATTATTGTTCTAGGAAAACTATAAAGAGTTCTTCATCATAAAAACTGGACAACGATCACACCTCGGAATTGAAATATTATTTTTTCCTTCTATAATATTCTTAAAAGATTCCGATCACCGTATTCAATTCATTCTAGAGTTAATCGACTTCACTTAACAGAATACAATCATGTCACATTCTTCAAAAAAGATGGATCATGTTTCATAGAACTGAACTATCTAGAAATAATTTGCTAAAATTATATATCGAGAAACTATTTTTGTATTACTTTAAATATAATTGGTATATCTAACATGAGAAAAATCTCATGAACAACATATCCGATATAATAATTGATCAAAGTACTTGAAATGTGATATGTAAATAAGCATAATTAGTTTTAAATCACATTCTTAATGATGAGTACTTTATAAAAATGAATTAACAAATAATGAGCATAGTTAGCTGAACATAAGAAAACTCTGCTGTTGAAAAATTAAATATAGAAAAGAAAATAATAATTTTTTTATTATAAATCAAACTAAATTTTATATATTAATTCATGTTATGTTATTCACAAGATTTTTTTCTTATGATCAATGGAACGATCTATTAATCACCATTCACACCTCGTTGTGAATATATCTGTTAATTAACATTTATTTTCCGCTGAATACAATTGTAAAGTTTTTTTTATATGTATCACATCTTGAAAACAAAACAACTTGTCAATGAATTTTTATATTACCGTTCAAAAAAAAAAACGATTAACTTCTCCCTATAGACATGCTATTTGTTATATTCATTTTCTGCAAATTTTATAGCTATTCTATTGTAAATGTCATGATGTTATGATCCAATTAAAATTGAATTCAATATAATACCAATAAAATTATTCACACTTTATCGAGGTGATTTTATATGTATTTCATTTAACATTTACATTTAATCGTCTCGATTGATAGACGGACATATCGAATACAAAAAAAAAACTCTATTAATTGTTGATCTTTAACAAACGATCAATTTTTTTTCCAAATCTCCTCCTTTCTGCAAAATAATACTATCGATGACAATGCTATTAGACATACATCCATTCAATTGTCATATATTTGTATTCACACTTGTCTACCTTAATCTCCCTCCTCCGTCATCATAACAATGACCACCCACTGATCTGTATCATACTCTAAATCACAGTAGGATAGTTATTTGAATTGATTTATAACAACAATTGTGTATTTTTTCTACAAAAAACAAATCGTGATACAAAAGACACACATACAAATACAAAGAGAATATGTTCATTTCTTCTTCTTTTATACATAAAGACTATCTGACGTAAATGCTGTTGGTTGACGATGTTCAACTAGTGAATATAATTGTTCAAAACGTCTTAAACTATCTTGATAATGTTGTTGTTGTAATGATGATGGCATAGATACAATGGATGGTGGTCGTAGATTTATTTGTTGAATTTGATCCGATGATAAATCTGATGAACCATAAACACCTTCATCCGATAAATTTGGATCAATACTAAGTATTCCTGAATTTAAATGCGTTAAATATCGTTCAACCTGAAAAAATAATACATATATGTTATAAAGAATAATTCAACTAAAATATAATTTAACCTTTTCTGAATAATTAAAATCACGTTGATGATTATCACGAGTATTGATTAAACTTAAATCATTTCCTTGTTTAACTACATATTGATAGATCCGGTTCGATGAATTCTAAAAGAAAAGAAAGAAAACATAAGTACAAAGGCGGTAAGAAGATATTAAATCGTCTCTCAAGAAAGAAAGAATAATGCTCAACTCAATGTGCCATACAATCATTAATCCACGTACACATCTGTTCACATCGTCTATAGGTGTCATAGAACATTTGAGTATCAAAAAGAAAAGTAATAAAGAATATTATTACGTCAAATACTTACTCTTCCATCATCAAGAACTTCAATTGTTGTTTTTTGAGATGAATCTGCATGTTCATTTGAACTATTCATACTTTCACATGATGAATTACGATTGGATTTTTTTTCAATATTAAAACATGAATAACAACATAAACATAATGATGTTTTTGATTGTTTTTTCCGTCGTAATAAAAATGCAATTAAAAAACATACACCAATTAACACTGATGCAATAAAAATAATAACAAAAAATGATAATATTAACATTAAACTTGTATTTTCCATACTAAATTTTTTCATTACAATTGTTTCATTTATCGAATAAATATGTAATGGTATTGATATTGAATTCGATAAATTTCCTATATCATAAACAGTTACATTTATTGTATAAAAGCCCATTATCAATGGCATTGAACAAAGAATTAATGTCCCATTATTCGTTAAACTTAAATCAAGTGATGGACTAACTATAAATGAATAGGTAAAATTTTTCGGTTGAAAACGATCACGATCATCAACAATAAATTGTGTAATTATAGATGGTATAGAAGTTGTTTCAAATGGTATTGAAACTGTTTCATTGTATGGTAATGGAGATATAATATCAGGTGGATTATCATTACAATCTTCTAATTCAATATGAAATAAATTTGTTTTCGATAAACTTGGAATACCATAATCTGTACATTTTAATTCAATTTCTAATGATTGTTCAGTTTCATAATCAAATTGAGGTGAACCACTTATTTGTAATGAATAAGCATTTAAAGTTAAATAAACTAAACTTAAACGTGTATCATTTAATGTACAACTAACACGACCATTATCACCAGAATCATCATCAGTAACATAGATATAAAATAATGTGGTGCCTACAAAAAAAAGATATCAATAGATTTCTAATGGCTATTTGTTTGTGTTCATTCGTACGATAAAATATTGTCTATGTGGTAATATATACACTTCATTGAACCTAGTTCTATGTTATGTATGACAAGTTCATCGAGCAGAAAGAATATCTCAATCCAGCTGACTTTCTCTGCCTCGAGCTACAATTAGTGATAGTTGTACGAATTAAAATAATTATTCATTCGATATCAAAAGATAAGTTCATTTGACAATAAATATAATGTCTTTCTCTCTTAAAACATCTAACTTATTTCTTTAATTCTATTATTACCTTTTGGTGTACATTCTGGTAAACTAATTGGTTGATTATTATGATGAGTACCATTTATTTCTGTGATTAAAATATTTGGAATATTATCATTAACATCTGTTACATCGATTATTAATTGTGCATAATTATTCAGCTGTGGTGTGCCATGATCACGAGCTATGAAGAAAAACGATGTTCTTTCATAATAGAAAAGCAAAATGAGTATTTTTAACAAACCTGTGATAGAGATTGAATATGAACGTATTTTTTCGAAATCTAATGATTTCATTAAATAAATTTCTCCTGAATTTTCATTTATACGAAATGTTGATGATGGATCATCAATTGAATAACTAATACGTGCATTTTCACCATCATCACGATCAGTTGCATGTATTTGTAAAATAATTGTATCAATTTTTTCATTCTCTGGAATCGATTGTTGATAAATCGATCGATCAAATACTGGTGGATTATCATTGACACTAAAATTTCAAAATATTTATTAATTCGAAAAAATAAAATAATTTCTACATACTCAGTAACAATAATTTCAATTTTTTGTTGACCAGATAAAGATGGTGATCCACCATCATAGGCAATTAATTGTAATAAATAATTTGATTTTGTTTCTCGATCTAATGCTTCAACAAGTTTTAAAATCGGTTTATCAGTTTTTATTAAACGAAATGGATTATTGATCAATGGATGTAATTCATATTTTTGTATTGACAATAAACCATAATCATTATCCACAGCTGGTTCAAGTGGAATTTCATAGCCTATAGGAACATTTTCTGCGATTGGAAGTTTAATTAATGATTGTTTAAATACTGGTGAATGATCATTAATATCTAAATAAAATAAAAGACGTAGAAAATAATAAAAAAAAGACATTTTTCTTTACCTTCAATAATAATTTGAATTGTACGAATCGAAATATTATTTGTTGAAAATGTTTGTAAAAAGTTTAATGTTAATAAACAATATGAACAATTACATAGATTTTTTTCACAAAATTCTTCACGATCAATTCGTTGATTTGTCGTATATAATGATTGATTAGCATTTAAATAAAAATAAGTTTGATATGAATAAGATGAAGGTAACCATTGAACACTATTTGTTGATGATATCGATGATAATAATAAACTATTTGATGGAAGTTCTTCATGAATATATATGATTGATGTATTATTATTATTATTATTATCCGCTGATATTAAAGGAAGAATAATTATGAATAAAATAAGCATCATTTTATTTTATCTAAAACAGATGTGAATATGACTTGATTGAAACACGCACATATAAATCTAACGCGTGTGTGTTTTATAATTGGAGATGAAGTTGTCATCATAATTGTTCTCTCTAGTCCTTTTATCACATCTTCATCGACATTTCGTGATCAAATGTGATCAAAGAGCAAAATAATGCGGAAACATTTTTACTCTATCTCAATCAAAAATTTTTTTAATACTTCTACGCGATAATACCAATGTCAATAAAATGTCTGTCTCGTATTTCGATTATAGACATTTTTATATTGTTACTTTTTTCAATCAGCTTTATGAGAGATGGGAAAAGCTTTGTATTTACCTGTGAAAAGGAACTAACAAATAGAAACGAGAAAATATTCAAGGTTTAATCACGTTAAGTAAAAAAATATAAAATCCTCAGGCATCAACTAACATCTAGATGCTGAAATGAAAGTCGACACTTAGTTCAATATGCAACGTTGCTATGAAGAGATGATGTTCATCGGCTTCTTACCTTCTTAAATCTGAAGTTACATCAGTCGTCACAAAGCAAGAATATGAAAGAAGAGAAGAGAAATTGCTTCTTCTACGTCGTCAACTGTTTTGTCATTCAAGTGGTTGAGCCAGAGGGGAGTAGATATATATATATATACGTATACACACACACACACATATGTGTGTGTATATATGTATATATTTAGTTTGAAAAAGAGAAGACAGGAATACAATTACATGTATGTATGTATCTTACACATATGAGCTAATTCATGTTTGGTATATATGTAAAGAAACGAATGATATTTTCTTGTTAATTATTGTACAATATCTCACCTAGACGTCGAAAATGGATTTATTTATATTTTTTGTTAGATCGAAATAAAAAATTGAACACAGCAGGAATGAATAATGATGATGATGGTCACAACTGTGTTTTTGTTCAGAAAAAAATAAATGAGAGAGAGTAAGCGAAATTGATCTCTTTCTCTTTCTATCTCTCTTCTTTCTCTAGGTGTACATACGAGCTGGTTCCCTTTCTTCTCTCTCTCTCTCTCTCTCTCTCTTTGCTATATTGTTCAGCCAAAGGGAAGAAAATGAACTTTTTTCTTTTTCCTCTTTCTTCTTTATTATTAATTTGGTTCTCTCTTTCTTTTTACCTATTATAAACCTCAACCTCATTATATTAATCACTTTTACATTCGCTTCATTTACGATTGAGAATTCGGATAGGAGAGATATAGAACGGCACAAATGATAACTGTGTATAGACCGAATCCGACAATTTAATTGACTTTTGAGATATTGAGATGATAAAAGCGTGGAAAACAGGTGAAAAAATTGATCTTTGTCTATTGAAAAATAGAAATGTCGGTTAAACATCATAGAGATAAATATTTTCGCATCAATATCTTTTAATCATAAAAAAATCTATACATTTTACAATTGACTATTCGTTGATCAATAAAGAAGAATGAGATGACATCATAAAAATGTACTTTCAATTGATCTTGTCGTCGTTTTATAACTAAGATATCAATCTTTTGATGGTCAATATTCACACATATATACTTTTAGACAAAAAAAACAATATAAAATTAGTAGGTATATATTACTTGATGGTAGAAGAAAAAGAATGAAGCATTTATTTCCGCCATGTGTCACATCGATTTGGTGTACTAATCAAATTGTTCATCTCATTGAATATGAGAGTGAAACCATAAATTAGACCTGTATGACACTTGTTCACCTTCTTCCGGCCAAACCAACTCAATACAGGGAAAGATGACCATCTGCATGTACATGTACTTGTTGTATACCTATTTTCAATAGATTCTCTATCTCACTTATCTTCGAATGAATGAATATTATTTGAAACTTCACACATAAATACGTGCTAGTAGTTTATTAGACACACACAAAAAAAATGATAATGATCATTTTCAATATATATATATAAAGTATAGTTAAAAATAATGAATACTAACCTCCTTTGTAACGATCTTATTATAAGAAATCCTATTAATGATCATTATTTAAAGCAGTTCCTTTTCTTTCTTCCTTTTTTTTTTAATAAAGAAAGAAGTAGGTGAATGCCTAAGGCAGGAAGTTAGTGATACAAATTGAATAGAACGTCAAAGACTTCTTTCTTCTTGAACAAATTTCCTTTATTTAAAAGTAATATATATAAATTTTGAGAATAAGAAAAAATCACAAGTTCTCATGTATGTAATCGTTTATCATGGATAAAATACATTTACCTGAACAGATGGAGAATTTTCGTCTGGTCAACGATCATCATTTGACATTCTCATGTGAGCTATAAATCTTGTCCTCACTTTCGCTGACCATTTTTCTTAACTCAACCTATATATATATATATGTGAACATACACGTGTGAGTGTCAATATCTTTATGGACATTCATGTTACTTGACATTTGTTCTTGAATATAGACGAATATATAAATAGAAAACAAAAGATTTGATTCATTCTATTGTTAAGTATAATTTACATCTTGGTGCCGCAATATAAACGCGATACTCATCAGCTCAAGGGTACCATAAATATGTGTAGAGTCATTCTCTGTCGTTTTTATCCATTGGGATTGAATGTTTATATGCTTATACTCATTAGAGAAATCGTCATGAGCGTATTTGTCATCACACAACACAGTCGCGTGAATGAACAATAGGATCAAAAGCAAAGCGATGTGGCTCTAGCGTATATATACACATGCGAATAGAGGACTTGTTATCGTGACTCTCTTGAACAAATAGACTAACTATATTTTCAATAGTTTTCTTTTTTCAGTTTATTTCAAGAACATTAAATCACTTATCGTTTTCAATCAATAGACATCTAAATTGTCGTTTCCTGTCGATTTAAAATGAAACACTTGAGACGGGTGACTAACTATTGACACATTTACATCATTTTCTTTCATCAATTCAACCCAATTAAATTGTTTTGATTGATCTCATATGATATGAATACAATGAATCTTTTAAAAAGCTATTGTTAATTTTAGTGTTTTGTTGTTATTCATTCAATATTTTGAATAATTAGTAGTAAAACTACTTTTATTCTTTGTCACGCGATTGACACCTTTGATGTTTCGGTTGATTGAACTCACTCAAACACAAACACACACACACTCTCTCTCATTTTATATTTATCCACTACTTCATTTCACTAAAATTACTTCCTTGTTTGCTATTCTTCAACATTGATCTACGTAGTTTATTGTGATAGATCAAATTACTGTTCATCGATTTCTAATTGACACACATGCATACTCATGTCAATAAATATCTGATATATGTATATCAAGAGTACAGGATTAGAGTTCATCAGCATTCGTTCTATTTATCTAACTATATGAATATAAGAACAATGTTTAACGGAAATCATATATATGATAGACAAAGAAGAAGAAGAAACAGAAATACTGATATTCATATTAAACAAATGTTTGAATAGAATAAATTTATATTCAATAGAAATGATTGTCTCATTGCTCTATGATTATATTCGAAGTATTAGATTGTATTGATAAAATATATATTCGATTTTAATTACAATTTTTATCATATAAAAAGACTAAATGTTTCATTTGTAATAAAAAATATATATTTATTTCACTATTTCACATGAAGAAGATACAATTAGTATACATATGATAAAATATTCTTATTTTAATTCAATGTCTTTTAATTATTGCACGTCGTTCATTAGGTGTAGTTGATATACCAAGCCGTTTACGTTTTAAACTATTTTGTGTTAAATTATCAGTTTCTTCAAATTGATTTAATTTTTGTTGTTGTTGAGATTGTGATATTTGCGAAGCATTATATAATTCATCACATTCATGACATGCCTGAAGGAACAGATACATATTTAAGAAGATTTTATTACGGAAATAAATAAAATTATTTACTCGACAAAGCTCATCATCATCGATATCATCATCAAATTGATCACTGATTTCTTTCGTAGCAGCTTGTGACATAATCTGTTCAGCACGTTGTATCGATGTTGATGAGATTATAATTGGCTTAAAAAATGGTAACAAAAAATCATCAAGATATAAATATATATATATATTATTGACATATGAAAGCAAATAGAAACAAAATAAATCAATATATCGATTGATACATCGAAAATCGTTTACTCAATGTATGGACATTATTGAAGAAAACAAAGTTTTACAAAAGATTTGTTTAGATAAAGGCACGACCAGCTAACGATCCCCTTCGCTGGTGAAGGTTTAAAATCAGTAATATACAGAAAATATGATCTTGAAATATTATTTGTCTTTCTTACGACTTTAAAAACGTGAATAATTACGAAATTTCGCTTTTCTTCATTTTTTAAATTTTCATTTTTGTCAAAATAATGAATGAAATTTTGAAAAAAAGATGAAAATGAACTAATCGATTTATAGAAAACAAAATTGTTATTCGTTACAGAACGAAAAAAGTTAGATTTCATAGTTAAAATTATCATAAAAATGGCACTAAACTGTTCCTCGTGGGAAAAGAGAAAATCGGTGAAACTCTGTAACGCTCAATCTTTTAAGTTGTCTTATTTAAAGGAAATATTTTACAGAGAAAACGACATGAGAGTCTGAAAAGCTGAACAATCGATGTATAAAACGTTCATTTATGAGTCACTTAGTTTCGAAAAAAAAATGTTAAAATCTGAGTCTTCCTTCAAAATTTTGTCCATTTTTGAAATTCCGTAACGAACGATGCTTTCCATATGACTCGCTACAAGTCAGTGAAAATGTTAGTGCTAATACAGCTAGTTAATCTTCATATATGGTAAAAATTTCAGCAACATCTCTCTTGTTATTGAGGAGATACATGTCTCACAAGTTGAAAAAATGAAAATTCGTAACGCTTAGCCGTGCCCATAAACAAAAAGAATTATAATCCGAAAAGACATGTGTTAGATATGAACTTTGAATTAAAATATCACCTTTTGACTAGCAGTCATAAACATAGCATTAGGTGGAAGTTGATTATCTGACATAAGAATATCAATCTACAAAAAAACAAAAATCAACGAAACTGATCTAAAAGATTTTATTCTCAAACAAAAACAAAATTCGTTTTTTTTTAATTTTTAATAGCTGATTGTTTTTGTACAAAATCTAATTTATGTGTTCCATCACAAAAAGGTCTTTTCTTTGCTTGTTTACAATTACACCACCAAACATCTTTTGTTTCATCTGCAACATATTTTATTGGTCGAAATTTTGGATTTCGTCGTACATCATGATTTCCCCATACACGTTTACACATACCATCACAAAATGGTTGACTATTTGCCCAACCACATGCACAATATAAATAAGCTCGACCTTTTTCAACACGATATTTAAATGGAATTTTTTCATAAATACGTCCATAAGGTGGACCATTTAATGAATATTCATCAATAAAACGTGGTCGTTCTAATGGTAGAGCCAGTTTTTCTTCATGTGTTTCTGTCATATGAATTGTTTGTTCAGGATGTGTAATATCAGGATAGGGAACTGTACGATGATTACATCGAATAATCGATAAAAAAAATGATGACGATGGCCTGACTAGACGATTTGAGAGCATCTAAAATAAATCAGGAATCATAGTCTATTTGTTTTTTTGCTTTTCTTATAATTAAACACATAGATAAATCTCATTATTTCAAATGAAAGAATACAAAAGCTTGAGCGACAAAAATTTAAGGAAAAAAAAAGATATAGTTTTTTTCTAAAAATAATTAACTGTGTATTCTTTTTAACTAAAACTAAAGTAAAAGTATTGTTCAAGAATAGAATTGATATTTCATCTATTTGGTAACTTCATGAATAGCATTGGCTAAATATGCATTATTTTTTGATGTAACACCAGCCATTGAAATACGACCATCTTGCGTTAAATAAACCGAAAAATCTTTGATTAATCGTCCAGACTAAATTAAATTCAATATATTTTAATGAAATATTTCGTTTTTATTTTACTTGTTGTGGATTAAGTCCAGTAAAACAAAACATTCCAATTTGATCTGTAATATGTTGCCAATTTTTACTTGATCCATTCTTTTTTAAATTATCAGCTAATTGTTGACGCATTGTTATGATACGGTCAGCCATATCTTTAACTTCTTTTAACCATATTGATCGAAGATCTTGTTGATTTAAAATTTTAGCAGCAATTCGTGCACCATGTACTGGTGGATTTGAATACAATGGACGAATTAAAATTTTAATTTGAGACATAACTCGATCGACTTCATCTTTATCTTGACAAACGACTGTAAATGCACCAACACGTTCACCATAAAGACCTATTTTAAGTTTTTTTTATAAATTCTAATATTTAGAAAAATCAATAAATTATTACCCATATTTTTAGCATATGATTGTGCTAAAATTAGATTATGTTTATCTTCAATAAATTGTCGAACTGCAAATGCATCATCATCGATATTTCCACTAGCAAAACCTTGATAGGCCATATCCATAAAGACGAGTAATTTTCGTCTTTTAACAATAGAAGATAATTCTTTCCATTGTTCAGGTCGTGGATCTACACCTGTTGGATTGTGCTTTAAAATAAAATATGTAAATAAGTTTATGACTTTTTACAAACGACAAAAATCACATACTGCACAAGCATGAAAAAGAATTATTGAATTTTCTGGAATTTTTTCAATATCTTCTTTAGCACCATTAAAATCGAATCCACAAGTTTTTGAATCATAATATCGATATGATTTAACATCAAGTCCAGCATGTTTCATAATTGGTGTATGATTACCCCATGATGGATTTGGTAAATAAACAACTTTGTTTCCAGGAAAAAATTTTGCCTAAAAGTAAAGAATGTCACGTGTATCAAACATAATGAAACTTTTATTTCTTTACCAAAAAAGCAGCACCAATACGAAGTGAACCTGTTCCACTAATACCTTGAACAGTTGCAAACTAAGAAAGATATATATATATAGAGATTAGAATATAATTCATGATATTTTTGTTATACTAATTGATCTTTAATAACTCTTGAATTATCACCAAATGCTAATTTAGCACTTGCTACACAAAATTCTTGTAAACCACCAATTGGTGCATATTCTTTATCAAGATTTTCATTTGCAATTAATTGTTCTGCTTTTTTCACACTTTCGAGAACAAATGGTTTGCCTTGATCTGATCGATATGCTCCAACACCCAAATTAACTTTTAATAAAAGAAAAATTTTGTTTTGATTTTATGCAGAAAAGAAGAAAGATGTTTTTATATACTTTTTTTTGGATTAGTATCTCGTTTGAATGCTTCAGTAACACCAAGAATTGCATCAGGTGGACCCATTTCAACATTTGACCACCAGGCACTAAAGAAATATATATAAATTGATTTTCTTAGAAAAATTCAAGGGTTGAATATTGACTTCGTTGAAGCAAGACGAGAAAATTGAGATAAGACCCACAATTGATGTTTGCTGGTTAAACTAAGCGTTCGAGTAACACTCATGTTTAATAATTAAGGATCAATATATCTAAATATAATAAAAACAATTATGTTCCTATGCAAGTAATACCTATCGACAGCTATCGTCAAGAAAAACAATTGTACGGTAGACGGTACGAAAGGAATCAAAACAAAATCAATGACAGACACTTTATGGATGGGTCGTCAGTACATTTTGATAAAATCCTCATCGAAGAGAAAAACTATTCCAAAAGAATCGAATGCGTGAATTGGACGAAAAATAGTTTATAGAGGACGCTAACATCCGTTTGTGTTGGACGTTCTTTATAAAACTTATTGTTTTTTTTGTCCGACGAAATAATAGTAAGATATATTGAGCATATATTAATAAATAAGTATTATAGATAAAAT